TGTGCTATGTATCTTTGCAGTGGGATTCTGTGTTTCAAAAACACCCAAATAGGCATGTATAGCATGCCTAAACTGCATAAACATTTATTTAAGATGGAATTCAGTTTAGCTACTTCAAGGACTTTGAATTTTATACCATCCTTAAAAATTATGGTTGGATTTGCAGGCAAGACTGATGCTCTGGTCTCTTAAAGGAGTGTTTTATTTTCATTCTGGGTGGTGAGAAGAGTTTTTAAAATGTGTGAACCTTTACACCTGGTATTGGAAACAAAAGGTATGATTGAGGATATGGTATACTGATCTTGTATACCAGGGCTCTTCATTTTAATATCTTGCTTAAATATCAACTAAACAAGAATTTTAGGGTGGGTTGGGTTTTTTGGGGGTGGGGTTGGTTTTTTGGGGGTTTTTTTTTTGGCAGCTTCTGTCTTGCTGTAGAGAGGAGCATGGAAAACTGTAGTTACTATTCTACATTCCTGAAGTTTTAGTACATGATTTTGTCAGAAATATAATGAACATGAAAACAAGTTTCCTTTTCCCAGAGCTGCCTTTCAGCAGAACTAGCTTTTGCCACAAAACCTGCAGATAATACGCTGTAAAATTTTGCCACATGTACAAATCATTCATCAGTGCGCACTTGCTTAGTGCATGACTGATGCTGATGGAATGTAGATAGGCTACTTAGCAGAGTTTACAAGCTACAGAATAGGTTATCCATCTTTACTGGTTTCAAAAAATTTTATGTCTTCAGCGGCTTGATAAATATTTTCCTGAACTTCCAAGAATTGTTAATAACTAGGCTTCAATGAGTAACATAATTCATAATTCCATAAACAGGATGCGTGATGGGAGCCTTGGTCTTGAGATAGCATGAGCTCATCGGAAGTAAGGTTTGGTTGCTTCATTGCTATTTTTTAATCTGCCTTTAACATTAATATTAAACATTGATAAATATTTAAGAATTTGAAACAGATTATGGGAAAATTGCCTGAGAGGAAGTATGCCAACAGGAGGACTCGCAGTGTTATATTTATTAAATGCATTTATAGAATGAGACTTGGAAGTTTTACTTAGCATAAAATTCGGTAAATGCAGATCTTCAAATTAATGTTCATATTATTGGCACTTGTATTAGTAAACAGATGCACACTGTGTAATCCTTTGATTGTTAGATATTATATATCCTTAGATATATTAGGTCCGTGTAACTTTCATGATAGTGTTCATTGCATATGTTAATCGCCAGGGCAGATTTCAGAACTGGGTGATGCATTTGTTTTGCTTAAACCTGAGGTAGTACAGATAATGTCTTCTCAGCTCTGTTCTGAAGTCAGCTCCCACCACTACCCCTCAAAAAAATATCTTAGTTGTCATCCTGCCTTTCCCACTGGAGAAACATAAACCAGGTCCGGGTGCGGAAGAGACCGATGTGGGTCTCTGACTGGATGTCCTTTGCAACTCATTTGTCCTACTTCACTCTGCGGAGGCTGTCTGCCCTTGAGAAGTACTGCAGCGTTAGGATTGATGTCTATTCTAGCACAGCTCCAAAAAAGTCAAGTCTTCCACTTGATAAGTCATGTAAAAACCTGGTTTTGGCGTGTGTTTATCAGAAGGGAATTTCCCATTCGCAGTCGGAGAGTGTTTTGCTCGTCAGCATGGAGACACATCCGATGACTTCGGGTGCAGTGCGTTTAAGGGGATTAGAAGATGGGCTCCTTCTACCTGCTGGAGACAACCCTCTTCAAGGAGACTTTGCAGACAGGCTGACCTTTTAACAGTATTCCTCGTCTTGGTGGGACTGTCAGCCAGGAAAAACTGGTTTGATGCCTCCTGGATGTCACTGTTATCAGTTTAATAGCTAAAAGAGGCCGTCTTGAGCAGCCACGTCATATTTATAACTGCCTTACTCAGCTGTTGCAGAAGAGAGAGCCCTTTAAATAGGGCACAGACTGGGGAGCTGCTGCACAGCCATGCAAGCCTCCTGCGAGCCAGCAGCCACAGAGGCTACGTTTTGCTGGCTAGGGGTCCTAGTGCATGCGGGGGCTTTCAGAGTGAACAAACTAGTCGCCCTGATACATCGTTTCCCGACCTAAAAATAAAATGTCATCTTTTTTTCCTAAACTTTTTTATTTAGAACCTTTGTATTTCACATCTCATGGACTTCAGGTTAATCTTAGTAAATGTTCTCCTTTGCTTTTAAATTTTGTTTGTAGTAACACAGCATAAAAATTATGATTAGGTCATTAACCAGAAAAAACCTGGCGCTCATCTGCAGGTGATCAGATGACATCAGAGGCCTGGTTTTAATTTGTGGGTAGTTCTGATTGTAACTAAAAGAGACTTGCTCCTTTTGTGGAATTGGCTGGCTATTTCCCCACATCTGGAGTTAATGAAGTCTTTGAGACCACATCAGTTGTGTTTTGCCGCAAGAACCCTTTGATCTGAAAAATCTAGACTGGCACAAGTGCAGCTTCATAACATCGCAGCTATGTTTTTGCAAGCTATAGTTAAGATACCAAAACAAGCAGAAACTATATAAAGTTATGTGTCTCTGCTAGGACTTTCATGTAGCTGTTTGGAAGGGCCCTTTTACGTTAATATAATTCATAACATTTTATTATGTTAATGGCTTGTACATATGTATCTGTAAATGATATATTTGTAGGAGGTTTTCAGTTTAATTTCCCTTTGAGATAGTGTTTAATCAGTTTTTATAAATCACTCAATTTTGTAAAATGTTAAAATTCGTTAAAATACGTTAAAATTTCAGTCTGAAGCTTGTATTTACAAATCTCATTGATAACATTAGAGTTTAAAAGAAGTATAATTCATCATTGTAGGTGATTTTGCATTAATCAGTGTACATCTCCGTGGTAGTGCTAAATGTCATAAAGCTTTGTTTCCACTGCTGTCCTGTGACAGTGATAGATTATCCATCAGCTATAGCACATGCTGCGTTATTCTGCACAACAGAGAACTTGTAAATTAAGCCCAGTTTTGCCTAATATGTTTGCAGTCTTATGAGTGTGAGTAGTTACAGTTTGACAGTGACGTTTCTGTTAAAATATGTCTGAGGCGTGGAATATACATGCATTCAGCATATATAGTAAATACATATGTACTGTTAACATTGCTTGTAACGTATTGTCATTCTGTCACTCAGGTTTGGTAAGCATCTCTATTTTACATTTATTCCATAAATTGAAAATCTGCAAGTAAAATACTGAACGAAAGCTCCCTGAAAGGCTTGCTTTCCTAAATTTTTTTCCTTTATTTTGATAAAAAAATAAGGTTAGAACAAGCATGCAACTAAAAGTTGTAAGTTTTCCACTTGACTCCTTTTTATCAGGTGTCTTTTTACCTGCTGCCGTTTTCATGCCATGGCTCGTATTGACAGCCATGCCCTGGCTTCGTTCCTTGTGCCCTTGTCCTGATTCCATCATACAGCAGTTTGATAGATTTTATTGAAATTCTGTTGATGTAAAACGAGTCTAAGAGAGTGGTAAATCAGTCCCTCTGATATAAAAGAGTGCTGTCTGCAGGCACATGCCCAGCCATTTGGTCTGACAGCAGCAGGCTAGAAAAGCATTTGGGAGTGGGGAGGAGGGCTATTGGTATGCAAATGAAAAGCAGGACTTGCCCACTTCACTTTCTAAATATCGCTATCAGAACAATCACCCTCCGGGAGAACAATGGCTCTCTTTTAGGGAAGTTACGCTTTTTTTGTTGGCCGGCTTGGTTTTCCTGGCCCTTTTCTTGCTTGGTAAACAACATCCCAGAAAGACAAGGGAGAGGTGTGAATCTTGGAGATATATGCATGTGCTTGTATTTGCATAGGAAGGGATAAAAATACTAACTTTTGAATTTTAGGGTATAGTGGACTTTAAGTTGCATTTATGTAAGCCTTATTCTTAATAGATACCTTTATGAAGCCTTGTGTATTTACAAGTAAGGTGAATGATTAAAAAATAAAAATACTGCATTTTTTACTTTGTAGCAAAAAGATGCTCTGGTTGCGATGTTACATTTTGATATTCTTTGCCGCCATATTTAATTTGCCTTTTTTTTTAAAAAAAGATTTTTTTCTTTTAATATACACTAGTCATATTGCAATATTCAGCATATTGACCAAAATAGTGTTATGAAGAAATAGCATCACTTAGAACAACTAATGTTATGGGTAGAGTCCTTGAGTCTGTGAGTACTGGCTTTGTTGATTTGACTTATTTATTCCTGAATATGCTTCATAGTTCTTCTTAGAGTCACTGCAGTGAAAGACTTCTAATCACTACGTTTATTTGGCATCTTACAGTTTTTAGGTTGTGAAGAAAATTTGTTGCTTGCAAGTTGAGAATGGTCATTCCAATGTGGTGTTACACTGGAAAAAAAAAAAAAAGATGCTGGTTTTCTTTAATGCTAGGCCAGTGTGAAAATAATTTGCTTGATGTTGCAGTTTTAAGATTACTCCTCGGGACTTGCATTATGTATATTTTTGATGACTGTACAAAGGCGTGCAAGTTTCTGAATGGATGATACAATGGTTGCATTAAAATCTTTCCATTTGTCACTGGATGTTCTTTTTCTTTCTGATTGTTGGGGTGCCAGCTAATTAAATATTCAAACAGGCATACAGTTGTTTTAAAATAAAATTTGTTTGGGGCCCAGTTGTTTTATCTCACTTTTTTTTTTATCTTGAGCAACAAGTCTGTGCGAGTCATGCACTTACAAAGCAAAATCAGCATTCAAGCTTTTATCAGGCCACCTGGCTGAGTTGGCACACCAGAAAGTGTGTTGTTAAGATCATTCTACTGTAGTTCCTCTGTACTGTGGCAACGTGCTAAAAAGCAAATAAAACAAGGGCAACAAATGCTGCAGCTTGCTACACTGTTCTTTTTTTATTTGTGCTTTCTATCTGTGTCTGTATGCTGTTAGGGGTTTTTTAATGCACGACACCCAAATATTACTAACCTTCTTTTATTGCTCTCCAATATTTAGGTATATGCACCATCCCCGAGTTCTGATGATTTCAACAGAGAATCTCCAAGTTACCCGTCTCCTAAGCCACCAAGCAGTATGTTTGCTAGCACTTTCTTTATGCAAGGTGGGTAAAATGACTTCAAATATATGGGTAGGTGTCACTTGTCCTTTAGGCAGAAATCTGCAGTCAGCCACTGTTGTACCGAATGAAGGAGGAAGCGTAAAGGTAACATATCGTGCTAGAGCCTATGATTAAGTTTTATATACTTTTAAAACAGTTAGATGAAGGGAGCTGTCTGTTGATTTAAAGTTTTTCTTGTGACATTAATTGCTGACTGAAATTTAAGGGGATTATACACCAGGCCAGATGGACAGAATCCCCCATCCTTTGATTTGTAGGGGCTTCAGAGCAGCACACTGGAGTGATAGAGAAAAATGAGGTGAGGGCTTCTTGACTGTTCTGGAATTTGACTGTACAATATCAGCTAACAGTCTTAAGTTCTCAAATGCTTGTATATCCAGCATGCCAATAAAAAAACGGGTTTGCATTGAACAAAACGAGAGCAGAATTCATTTCCTCGGCCTCACATCATACAATTAGCTCGTACTGTAGTCTGATGAGGTTTTGGAGCATATTGAAAGCATAGTCCCTCAGTATGGGAATTTACAGAGCACTTCAGTTTGCTACAGAAGAACGGCATTGACACACAGGTTTAAGGCTTATGTAATGTAGTCATTTCAGTTACTTAAATCTGCTATTATGAAATGTTTTTATATTTTTATGGTACTAAGGTATTTTAGACTATAAATTGCTTATTTTAGGTTAATAGATGTTTTGTACTGTATGTTTACGATGAGCTCTGCTTAGCCAAACTTCTCTCTCCTCCGCCCCCTTTTTTATTATTTCTTTCAGTCTGGAATTTTTATCAACCCTCTTGATATAAATCTGGCCTTACTGAAGGTCTGTGTAATTAGCAGAAGTACTTGGTATTTTCTCAGCTGTGGTTGGATTGTATTTCAGCTATAAAGCCTCTGTTGGTTTTTTGGTTCTTTTATAAATGTAGCAACAGTGTGGTGGCATGAAAATAGAAGATGCAGTATAAACTGGTCACCATTTCACTGCTCATGTTAGTCTGAGTAGCTGAATTCTGTATCCTTTTAAAATAATTTTGTAAACGAAAGTAGAACTTAGTACTCTTCTTCATTAAACGTATTTTTGTTGTTTTGTTTTTTATTAAAAAATAATACCAAAAAAAAAAAAAAAAGATGGGACCCACAATTCGTCTGACCTCTGGAGTTCATCCAATGGCATGAGCCAGCCCGGCTATGGCGGAATGCTGGGAGGCTCCTCTTCCCACATGTCCCAGTCTGGCAGTTACGGCAGCCTGCACACACATGACCGTTTGGTAAGATACGCAGCAGAGATTAATGTATTTGTACTTGTATATGGAGATCTGACTTAGAAGAATTCATTCCTTGTTTGCTGCTCGTGTATGTCAGTTAAAAACCCAGTTGTCAGAAATCACAAACTTATGTATTAGATTTATATCCTTTTACTTATGTCTGTTGTATAAATAGAAGTCTTTGGCTGTATAGTGTCTGTTCCAGAGGATGGATGAGTCCCTTTCTTTAATAAAGAGCTGGGTGTTGTGTATTTGATCTTAAAATATCAACATTTATTTAAAGACTACTTAATGTCTTATGTCTGTTTCTCTTCTCTCTAGAGCTATCCCCCACATTCAGTCTCACCTACAGATATAAATGCCAGTCTTCCTCCAATGTCTAGCTTCCATCGTGGCAGTACCAGCAGTTCACCTTATGTAGCTGCCTCGCACACTCCACCTGTCAATGGATCAGATAATATTCTGGGTAAAAAGTTCTTCCTACTTTTTTTTAATTTTACAAGAAAATGAAATTTAGGGCTGCATGACGCACAAAGTTAGTAAGGTTTCATTTATGGGATGCTTGTAGATCAGCGATACCACGCCACTGTGACATTTCTGTCCTCAGTATGGCTGAGATGATGCAAATTGTTTTGCAGTCAGCTTAAGACTTAGTGTTTATTTGCTTTCACAGCCAAGCCTATGCTCGGGAGATTGTATCCATCTGACTTAATGGCAGTTATCCTTCCATGGTTTAGTGTGTGTACACGTTCATATACGTAGTTCTGGTGTTGCAGTTTTCAGAGTTGCTGTATCACCAAGGTACTGTGCAGGAGAAAGGCAGGAAGACTGTTTCTTTGGGGAGCTTGATAAACTGCATCGTAAATCCCTCTCTTAACTGATTTAGAGATTACTGAGTAGCCAGTATGGTGGCTGCTTTAGTCTCTTCTGTGCTTACCTAGAAAGCATGCAGTATAGGATGATCATCTGTTCCTTGCACATGTTTGCACATCTTAAGGTACAGCTGTAGAAATTAAATGCTTGTAGATGCTCCTTGTCAGTTTGCTATGATTTGCGCTTAGCTTCATTTTAGGTAAGCAGAATTTAGCTAGAGTGACTATATTGGCTTTGATTTGGGAACATGTTTTACACTCAGATCTTTAAACAGAACCCAGTCAGTGAGCTGGAAGATCCAAGTTTGCCATGAACTTGAAACAGCGAGTGTCGCGTGATTTGGATTTCTGATATGAATGGCTTACATTCACATTAAATACAAGTTTTTGACATTAGAAGTTGATAATTGGAGAAAGGAGATTCACTTTGAAAGGGTCTGTCTTCTACAGTAAAGCAGATATTTCAGAGGGTTCAGGTCTTTTCTGTGTTTCCATTTGGCAGGGGTTCAGACCTCCTCTTGGCTTGATGGTGTGTGGAGCAAAAGGGCACGCAAAGCTGCTGACATGCAACTAAGAGCAGGGGTGACAAAGCTTGGTGGATAAGAGCTTTTCAGGGATTTTCTAAAGTAAAGATGAGAGTACAACACAGGGAATTAGAGCAGGGGGAGCAAGGCGGCACATAAGGAACTATTCAGTGAATTTGGCTTTAAGAATTAATGAAACGTGCAGCACTTTAGTGATAAGAGTTTAGAAATAAGCTGCAATAATAGAATTTTCTGATTTTGATTCTCTTTTCACATTTTGTTAAAATTAGCCTGTGATCCCAGAAAAACAATTTCAGTCTTTTTTTTCTAACTGCTTTCACTTGTTGGTCCTTAAGTTATCACAGTGATACTGTGTTTGACTTTGAAGAGAAGAGCATCTAAATTTAAATCTAATTGTTTTAATTAAATTTTTAAATATAATGAGAACTGATTCTGTTGACACTGACTTCCTCAGAATATCCATTTAAAAAGTGGTTGCTCAACTGTATATGATGACAATAATAAAAGTAAATAAAATTTCAGCTTTAGAAGTAAGTGTTGGGTTTGCTTTCCACATTACAGGAAACAGAGGAAATGGTGCTGGAAGCTCACAGACAGGTGATGCACTTGGAAAGGCATTGGCATCTGTAAGTAGCAGTTAGAATGTTCGGATCTGAAAGACATATTTTGGTCATTGCATCCATTATTTATGTGTTCATTAATTTTATAGTACCAAATCAGGAGTTTTCATGTATGAAGTTAAAATAACGTACTATGATACAATGTCATATACTAGACAAATGTCTATAAAAAAGCAATGAGTCTTCTTGCAGAAGACTCATTCTGACTTCCTTTTTTTTTAACAGGTGATGGAAGAATTTAGGGCAGATACAGTTTAGAAAGTTGTTTACACAAATAAAAGACAATCATAAGTT